ATTAGTGCCGATAGATGCACTGCCTAGTGGCGTAGCTAGTATTAGTGCCGATAGATGCACTGCCTAGTGGCGTAGCTAGTATTAGTGCCGATAGATGCACTGCCTGGTGGCGTAGCTAGTATTAGTGCCGATAGATGCACTGCCTAGTGGCGTAGCTAGTATTAGTGCCGATAGATGCACTGCCTGGTGGCGTAGCTAGTATTAGTGCCGATAGATGCACTGCCTAGTGGCGTAGCTAGTATTAGTGCCGATAGATGCACTGCCTAGTGGCGTAGCTAGTATTAGTGCCGCCATCGACGGATCAAGAAATTGGTCGCCCTCTCTTTGACGATAAAAACTGGAGAGTTGTCCGAGATTGACACTCCTCCATTTAAAGAAAAAATGTCACATGGCTGGATAACCCCATCCTGATGACAACAATCCTAGTTATCACAATCCTGGTGACAAAAATCCTAGTGACAACAATCCTGGTCACACCAATCCTGGTGACAACAATCCTAGTGATAACAATCTTGGTGAAAACTATCCTAGCGACACCAATCCTGGTGACATCAATCCTAGTGACAACAATCCTGGTGACAACAATCCAAGTGACACCAATCATGGTGACAGCAATCCTAGTGACAATAATTCTGGTGACACCAATCCTAGTGACAACAATCCTGGTGACAACAATCCTGGTGACAACAATCCTGGTGACAACAATCCTGGTGACAACAATCCAAGTGACACCAATCATGGTGACAGCAATCCTAGTGACAATAATCCTGGTGACACCAATCCTAGTGACAACAATCCTGGTGACAACAATCCAAGTGACACCAATCATGGTGACAGCAATCCTAGTGACACCAATCCTGGTGACACCAATGTTCACAAGGCGTTGTTGTTGTGTTTAGAGCTTTGCATAACATAACAATGATGATATGATGGATAATCTTCGACTCCTGTCTTAGTTATCTCCGCACAGTGATAGTCATTGTACCGGGGCTGTAGTGTTGTTAGTTGCCGATTATATTTCTGTTTGAAAGTCTATTCCCTCTTTGTGTGTCTCAACAGATTTGATCTTCTCTTTGAGTGTCTTAACAGATTTGATCTTCTCTTTTGTGTGTCTCAACAGATTTGATCTTCTCTTTGTGTGTCTCAACAGACTTGATCTTCTCTTTGTTTGTCTCAACAGATTTGATCTTCTCTTTGTGTGTCTCAACAGATTTGATCTTCTCTTTGTGTGTCTCAACAGACTTGATCTTCTCTTTGTGTGTCTCAACAGACTTGATCTAGACCTGGCTGATACCTTGTCATCTGTTATTGTGATGCCGACTATAAAAACCGAAATCTCCTTCTGGACAGCTGCCTCACATTCCACCTGCTGTCCTGTCGGATACTACATTACTACAATTAAAGTGTTATTTTGAACACATTGAACTCTGTTTTTAATGTTAGTTGGCTGATGAAGGCTTATTGTTGCTTTCTTTTTTCGGGTTTTCCCGTCCTTTGTTCTGTTCATTTCCATCCTTACAAGAAATAAATTATTAAAATAAGAATAAGATTTATTGGGGTGGGGAAAGTGGTGGTGATTAGGCCTACACCTCAAGATTAAGGTGATTATACCTACAGATTAAGGTGAATAAACCTACAGATTAAGGTGATTAAACCTACATATTAAGGTATGTTAGCTCAGCAACCAGTGGCAAGGGGATACTAGGTGTGCTGCAAGAAGGATGCTAGGTGTGCCGCTGCAAAATGACTCAAAGAAGAAAATAACCAGTTTATGATACGTGCCCTATAGTGATAAAATTATAAATGCGTGTTGATAAATAATGGAAAGTCGTGTATCACAGAGTTGATGATCTGGTGAGACACTCAATTTCAAGTTCAGAAGATTTCCTTACCTCCCGCCCCCCCACCGCGTTTTAGTCCCATAATTATTTATCGCCAATTTCCAAAGAGCCATAATGCAATTTTATAATAATCTCCTATCTCTTAAAGATAAGGATTTTTTTTTCTCGACTTTTTATTCTCTTGATTTTCAGTTAAAAGACGCAGAAATGTTTTGGGGCCTTAAGTGTGCCCTTCAGGGACAAAAAGTTGTGGAGGACTGCTCTATAGCACAACAGTTATATTATTTTTGGTAGTGCAAGTCTAAAAATTAGTTTAGTATTACAATATTCAGAAGTTAAAATATTTTTTCTTCTTGGACTCGTATTATTGCTATCATAAATTTGTTACCTACTGGTAAGCTGAATACAGCTATCAAAGAAATCATCAGACATTTTGTAAGTGTGATTTGATTGTTCTTTCTTTCTTTACTAAAAGTTTCATTTTTTGTGTGTTTTTTTTTTACATTATGAGTTACTACATGTGGTGACATTACAGCTAATGACGCCTCTGTGTCCACATCAGCAATAGAATTTTCTTATAAATATACATTCCAACACATGTCTCCATTAATATCTGATAAAATATACTCGTACTGAACTTTTACTGATTTTTAAAAAAAATGGATTTTATATCGACTACCTGCCTTTATTTCTTTCCGCAAGCATATATAGGCAACAAGACAAAGATTAAGAAACATTTAACATTTTTTAAAGAAAGTTTAATTTGATGTCCATTAATAATTACAACAACATAACTCCATCAATATTTATGACCAAATTAAAATAACCTAATGACAAAGTTATCAGATATGCCACTAGACTTTTTAAACAAAATAAGGATATTTTTTCCATTAAGAATAGCACAGACTTAAAAAGATTAATTATTTTATTTAAATTTAATAAAAATATGCGTTTGTGATAAGTCACATTTTTGGGGTGCAAAAGTAAAAATTAATGAAAATTAAAAATAGGCCAACAAGTTACCAAAAAAGTTAAAAAAATAAGAAAAATCAATTTTTAAAATATATTGAGTATTGAGTAGTATATCAAAATATCTTAGTTTTAGAAACTCAAGGTACAATGGACATTAAAAGTTATTTTCCTCTTTAAAAAAAAATAAACTTAAACAATTTAATGTCTAAGTTAAGGATTCTGAATTATGCAAGTGGTTTTGTGGATGGAGAACTTAGCTTTAACACATTTGTCCATGTTGAACACATTCTGGTGGGGTTAACTGCTAGAAACTTTTTTGTCCCAGCCTTGATGTGAATTCAGTCCTTCTGTGAGGTGGCCTGTATTTTAAAATCAAGCCCCATTGACATAATGCCACTAGAATATTTCAATATCTTCATCATCATCACTAGCAGAGGCAGAGCTCTCAGATGCATTACTCATTCTTGCCCTAACAATTTGTTCACCCCTGAATGGACCACTTTCTTCCTGAGCTTTCAATTCTGAAAAAAAAGGACAGGAAGCTTTGTTTCATTACATCCAATATGAATTTGTGGCTATTTTAATTTTAACTCATAAAAATAATGCAAAGAACATATCATTATTATAGTTTGTAATAGCAATAGTGATGTAGCTAGGGTTAGTTCCCCTTGGGGTGGGGAGCTTTTCTCCACCTCACTTACACACAAAAATAAACAACAACCCAAAACAAACCCTAGAATTGGCCAAAAATCCCGATCTTCAAATAAAGGAAAAAGTTCAGCCTGGGGTAGACCAGCCCACCACATCCCCTCCTAAACAACTGAATAACAATTCTAGGGACATATCATTTGTAAGTGTATGACTACTGTAAGGCTTGCTTATATGCAATATGCTAACAACCCTGGAAACAATGCTCATCTATATTTTTGCTTTTATCAGTTCTGTCATTTTCTGCCCCACTTCTACCAACCTCATTCAACAAAGTAACCCTTGACCTAAATACCTAATGCCTAGCTGGCTATAAAGATGCATTAGCAGTATAGAATATGCAGTGACCTGTGCCCAAGTCCAAGTAGTAATCATTCGTCCAATAGACACCAATTAATTGCGGTTACCGGAAATTTGTTTCAAAGAAATTTCGTCGACGGAAAATTGATAGACGAAAATTTGATTGAATGGAAATTTGATAGAATCTTTTTTTCAGTTCACACGTTAAAATTTTCGTCAAATTTCTTTTTCAACATACTATATACTATATAGTAAAACAAAATAATGCGTTCAAAAAGAAATTTGACGCAAAATTTTATAAGGGAACTGAAAAAAAAAAGATTCGCCCAAATTTCCGTCAATCAATTTTCGTAAGACGAAATTTCTTTCAAACAAATTTCCGGATACGATCAATAAATTGCAGGTAAAAAAGTGACATTCTCTCTTTTGTATAGTATCACATACAGGGATCTATTTACTCAAACATTCCATGTTAAGCAAATTGGCTTCTTAGATTCAGAATTTAGAAAAGAGAAGTTGATGAGAGAAACCCTATGTCATGTCAGAAATCTTTTAGCAACTTTTAGAATATTCAATAAAAACAGTCTTTATATGGATTTGTATTGGTGCAATAAACTTTTGTCAGGGTTTGGTTAGGGTTATTTTTGTACTTTAAGATTAGCATGTAGGTAGCAAAACAATTTCAATTAATAGTTTTCAGAGTGCTGGCCACTTTATCACCAACATCCTCACCAAAAACAATGAACTTTGAAACAGCTTTGTCCCTGGCACATGCACTAAGTTGCCTCAGAACGTAATAATTTTTGAACACTACCTGAACCTGAAAACAGCACCACTTGTGACAGCACCACATTTGACAGCCCCACTTTTGCTTTGGTTTCAAGGGGTTGAGTTATACCCAGTTTCACATCTTATAGAAAAGTGAAGGTAAATCCCTTTGATGGTAAGTCAATTTTGACGGTTAGTCACTTTAAACGACAGTGTGTGTGTGTAGGTGGAAAACAGAAATAAACAAAAGGCACTGAATGATCCTGAGCCAAACCAAATGCAGACAGGGGTCAATGAGCCCCCTCCCTCTAAAATATTTTCATAAATTCAAAATACATGGATTCATTTTGGTGTATACCTGAATTTAGTTTTGCATCAATCTACACTTAATTGATTGAGGATCATAAAAATGCTCTGAAATTTAAGTCACCCTCGACCTGGTTGTGTCATACTATTCTTTTATTTTTTTGTTACTAAATGGAAATGTGGTTTTATAATATTCATTTAAACTATTTAAAACACTATTCAACTCTTTAAAATGAATTTTTTTAAAGTTACCAATGCCATTTAGAGCCACAGAAAAGCATATAGATAATGCTGTTTGGCTCCATCAAGTGAGTTATTGTACTGAGTTACATCAGGCTAAAGAAATGTTTTTAATTCTGCCAATTCTGGCATCTTTCTATTTTAAAATATCAATATTTGGAAGCAATGGGGTATTTGGTTCCACTTTTTATTTCATCTTCTTAATTATCGTCATCATACTACACATTCTATCCTTTAAACACAGGGCTCAAAAGGCCCCATCCACTACAATCACTTTCTATGCACAATGAATACGTTGACAATACACTGTGCCTCATAATCCGACCATGAATCATACCAAAGAAAAATTACATTGCAAACACATGATAATTTTCAAAGTCATAAAAGCAGTAGCAGATTTATTATAAATCTAAACCAAAAGCCACGTCTTTGGGCAACAAATGCTTAGGGGAAGCTTAAAGTAAAATAATTAAATTTATAATTTAAGTATTAAAGAAATTTCTTGAACTTAGAATAAAGATGAAATGTTCTAAAAATTATATGCATAAAATCGCAATGGCCACATTTAAAGATAATCTTTTTAAAGTGTATTTTTATTAAATTGCTGCTTCTCCTGGGTCCTAACATCTGGAAGTTTAATGTCTCATTTTAAAAAAACACTCTTAATATATTTTAACTCAGCGGTCGGCAACTCATCAGTCAAAAGAGCTAAAAATCAGCAGCAGGACGATTAAACAAATTTTGAGAGCCAAATTTCTCTTCAAGAACCTTTTAAGAACCATGTGTTTTGGAGTCAAAATCGATTTGTGACCGGCTAGCCGAGCCGCACTCAGGTCGCTAAAGAGCAGCATGTGGCTTGCGAGCCGTGGGTTGCCGACTGTGACGTGACGTACGTTGTCTAGGGGTCGGTCCCCTGCGTACTAGCCACAGAACAATTTTCAAGGGTCTAGAACCCCTGTTGTCTAGCCCCTACAGAGCTGATGTGCTGAATAGTCCAAGTATTTATTAATGCAAACGATGCAAAGCTTCAGGGTTCATATGATTTATTACCTTCATCTTCCTGACAGTGGAAAAATGCATAGTAAACATCCCCTGGTTTTCAGAATACAAAATTTGTGTCCAGAAAAATGCTGCACATAATATAAAAAATATATTTACAGAAGTCCTCTGCCATCCATAGAAAAATCTCCCTCAACAAACTAACGTCCTCACATCCAATCCATCGCGTTCGCCACTGTCACGCTCTCTGAAACTCATCTCCCCTTTTTACACACTTCTATCCTCACATGGTTCCTCCCGACACAGCACACCGGTCAACCTGACCGAGAAAATAAAAACTCGTGGGGCACACGGGGAAAAGAAACTCACCCACGATTGGTCAAATTAACATCCGAAAAGCTGACACAGAAAAACTCACGCGATCTGACCGTGACACCGACCACTGTTTAAACTGATTTTTTTTGTCACCAGGAGTGCTAAAACATACTTTTTGTTGTGTTAATAAATTCCAAATTCATTCAAGCTGTCACATTGGCCTACATTAAGCTTGTTATTTCATGTCACTCAATGTCATCAAAAGAAAATATATCTCATACACTGTCCTTTTTTTATACCGCCCTACTTCACTCCAGTTTTTCCCCCCAATATTTCTAATTATTTGGGTCAGAATATTTAGGTGAAATACATGGTGTAGAATTGAGCCGATGTTTTGACAGTTTTTCTAAATAAATGTAGAACTTGATAATAAAATTATGACCTGTGTCTTTTAATCCCTTTCTTTTCGTTTGACTTGGCTGAAAAGCTGCCCACCTTTATATAAAGAAAAAAGTGTTCACAGGGTTGGAAAGCACCCCCTCCCACCTACACCACTGGTTTACATGCATATAAGTAAAGTTAATACCAGGTACCGGTATATTGTTCAAGACGTGGTGTAAAAAAAATAACAGAGAAAGGCATTGAAAATATTTCCTTTGATGAGAAAATATTTTCAATGCCTTTCTCTATTTTTTTTTTTACACCACGTCTTGAACAATATACCGGTACCTGGTATTAACTTTTTTTTTGATGAGGAAAAGTTACCAACACTGACATAAAATTTTACTGTAGATTATTTTAATTAAAAACAGTTTCAAAATAAATACCATTTGACAGCGAGTCTAGTCCTTGGCTTGTTAAATCACCTGTCTGATCCGCTAGAGGGATGCTTGGGTGATCTTGTCTAATTTTCACAATAGTAAAACGTGTTCTGTTGGGCTAAAGAGATAAAAATAAATCATGATATTTTTTAAATATCATTTAGAAATTAGTTACAGAAACTATAAGAAGAAAAACATGAACATATTGAAACTATTCAAACCAATAGCTAAAAAATATAAACATTTATCCTGATCTATCAGATATTAAAAACATATGTACCGGTAATTAAAATTCAGTTGCATTTATTATTTTTCATGTATTTAAATTTATCCCAGTCAAAAAAGTTATCAATCTTAACAATTAAATTAAATGTTGATATAATAAGATGTAATTTGTTTGAAATAAAGAAAGAAAGAATAAAGCAGTTCTTCCATTTTAAAGAAAACTTTGTGCACCATTGTTTAAGTGCTGATAACATCCAGAAATAAAATAGACAAGCAAGGGATAAAACTAGATGTGCTAATTTTTTAAGTGGTCTGTAACACATTGACTAAAATCTACAGATTTATAATTTATTAAATTTACTTGTGTGACCGGAGATGCCTCCTGTTGTGAATGTGTGACTTCCTTTCTTTTCTTCACAGAATTTGGCTTCTGGCCTACCTTAGTGCTTGGCTCATAGTTTAGCACACCTGTCACAAAAGAAATGTCAAACTTAAAATTCCAGCAATATCCAGTCCAACAGTTGTAAGTTCATTATTGGATAACCTACCTTGAATAGATTTTTTTTTTTGGGGGGGGGGGGTGGGGGGGGGTCACTCTTCTACATCAGAGGTTCTCAGTGTGAGCCATAAGGCTCTCAGAGCGTCATAAAAATGTCAAAACAATGACTTTTTGTATGTTTTTATATTAGAAACAGGAAAGCAGTGAAGTAAATCTAATGTTAAAGTAGGCAACAGGCAACAAAAAGGTTGAGAAACACTGCACTACATGATAACAGAATGATGTAATCAGTAAAAAAATTACTAGCATACCATGTAACATATAAGCACTGCAACAACATTTTACATACAAGCATTATAATAAGTCAGCTGGTGGGAAAAAAAAAGAGAATAATTTAGCACAATCCTCAGAGAGTGACACACAGCATACACCCAAAGAAAGCACACAGCAAGCGAAAACAAAATTGATTCCAATCACTATAAGACCTAATACTGCATCTGGGCAAGCTTTCCAGGCAAACATAGGACTGGCAACACACTTAAGTACTCATTGTAGAATATAGCTTTGGTCATCTTTCTGTAATACTTCATGGCATCTAGGCAATATACCTTATGACAAATAAGTACTTATGATACCGCATGGCTAATTAACATTATGGGCTATGAAAACTCATGAAATATAACAACTATAATACAAATTAAACTGAAGCACTGTAATACCTTCTTGTAACATGAAGGCAAGGCATTGCTTTGCTGTATATCTGTCTTCTACTTTCACTTTTAAACCCAAAGCCAATAGATCTTTGAGCCAGACAGGACCATCAATAAAAAATGAATCAATTGGATCAGTTAGGTGTTCAATCTGTGAATAATTAATAAGACGTTGTATGTTCTTATGCATCATATAAATTATTTAAACGTTAATAACAATAAGCACATGTTTTTTGAGTTGATAGCATTATCAGAAATGGGTTCCTTTTTTTTTAAACTCCATTTCAAGAATTCATAAGAGAAGAACACCAAAAATATATTTAAATATTGTATACGACTCCCTTGTTAAATGTGATCTCAAGAGGCCTGCAACAGACAAGATGACAGTGACAGGTAATCATTTTGTACCATGGATCACTGACTGGGGGTAGTGAGACCTATACTAGGAGTGGTGGTTAATATTGCCTAGAGCAGGAAGGTCTTGGCTACTGTGTACCATGCAGTGTTGTGGACAAATTTTTGTTAGCTCCAGCTTCGCTCCAACATCCGGCAATATTATTATACCGGTATGTTAAATTTAAATATCGAATATTTGTGTTACACCGATTAATTTGCAGATAATCAGTAATCATTCACAATAATTGCTAAACTGCCTAGCAAAATTACTCTCCATATTTTATGAGTAAATTGAGATAGATCTAATAGAACAGTGGTTCTCAACTTTCCTAATGCCGCGACACTTTAATACAGTTCCTCATGATGTGCTGACCCCCCAGCCACAAAATTATTTTCATTCCTACACCATAACTGTAGAGTATATATGTTTTCCGATGGTCTTACGCGACCCCTTGCAAAGGGTCATTCGACCCCCAAAGGGGTCGTGACCCACAGGTTGAGAACCGCTGTAATAGAACATTGGATATTTTATGGGTCTTATTTCTTCTCAAATTAGCACAAAATAAGAATATGCAAGACTCAAATAGGGGTGCCATTATCTGCCCCAATTTATTAATGGGGGTAATTTTCGGACAAAAGCTTAGTTTTTTTGTTGAGGATGGGGGACAAAACTTTTGGCCTCTCACAGATGGTACTAAACACAACTGAGGGGTCAGCAAACTTATTTTGAGTGAGGAGCCAATTTCATAAATTATATTTATATCTGCTAAGAAAATATTTTGGGAGCCACATGTCCTTATGGATTAGTAAAAAAAAGAGGTGCATATGTTCATTCAAATGGAGCCACAGGTTGCCCAAAACTAGTCAAGGATATTAGACACATATGTACCAGCAATATACCGGTAGCTGAAAGAAGAGCTGCGCAGCAGCAGCTTCCTCAACCATATTTGATTTTGTTGGCATTTGTTAACAACTAAAAGGTCAGTATACATTTTATTAAAAGAAGAGCAATTTTATATTATTTCATACCCTAAAATAAATATTTTTCAAAAACAGTTATGTTATATTTCTTGTAATGACATTGAAAAGTCTGTAAATGCGTTAAATTACAATACATAGTAGATTTCTAAAACTTGAATACTTTCTTCAGTATTATTTTATAAACGTGCACTATGGTTGTTCGTTGCACTGAATGACTTTTCATTAAAATAGTAATTAATTGTGTTTTTTGCAAGATAGTTTCTAAAACATTTCTAAAGCAAATTTTTTCTTCTATGTTTTTGTTAATTCATTTTCATAGCTCTGAGCAGTTAGAAAATTTGCTGGCTCCAGCTCCAGGAAGAAAGGCCCTAATCCAGAGCTCCCAGCCCTGGTACCAATGATCATTGTTAGAAATGCCTTAAAACTTGGAACATCTGAATATAAAATTTTGGTTTACGGTTATTTGTAGAATGTACAAAAATTATCATTATTTTTTTTTTTGAGATCCCTTTCCCAGGAGCATGGAATCCTAAAGCTCTGTGCACCATAGAGTATAGCTAATGAACTATTTTTACAATAATGTTTTAGTCATCATACAGCTTCTTATTTCAGGGAATTGCAGAAACAAAAATTCCTCTCATGACATTTTCAACAGTATGTAATTTAAAAATTAGAGGTTCCTAATTTGAAAACAAGTAAGTGGAATTTGGATTTTTATCAAAAAATGAACAAGAACCCTCACATCTGATCCTCAACCCTAGTAGACGTGGCAATATCCATGTCAAGTAATCACTACAGATGTATAATTACATTATAATGTCTTACCTCCTTTTTCTTCAGATTCCTGAACAGTTTTGCCGGAACATCTTTTTTAACAATAAATAAAAACACCATGAAGGCAGCCCACATATCACTTTTGTGATCTGGTTTGTATTTACTTGGGCCAATACTGTAATCTTCATTGTCTGACTAAATAAAGAACAATGAGTTTAAAGTTTATATAACTTTCAAATTAATTTTATAAATGTGATTGCAGAGGATAGTGGGAAAAAAAAAAGCTTTAAGTTTAAGTACCGGTATTCTTAGGTGTTTGAAATATATTTATGAGAACTGATGATTTCACAGAATTTTGATGGGGTAATCTGTTCTGGATCCAAAGTATTTAACATATTATGATGGTGAATTACTCACCTTGAAGTTCATACCTTTTATGACAGTTATAAGAATTAAAATTTGCTAAAGAAATTATGACTAAAAAATGTGTTTAACAGGATGCGACTCATGACTCATGTAATAATTCAAGATATGAAAAAAATGTGTGATGTAATACAAAATGTGACTAAAAAAAAAGAAAATCTATTTCGTACTACAAGATGTGACTAATGAAATGTGAAGTGATTTGGTTATGCAATGGCTAAAAAAATGTGATTCAGTGACTTAAGAATAAAAAAAAAAGTTAAAAAAGACTTTCTATCAAAGATGAGTTAAAAGCACTTAAGAGGAGAAAATAATTTAAATTTAAAAAATCAATTTTTGAAAGTATTTTTTGCACAGACTTTCTTTGGGCAATGCATTTTAGTATTAAAATAGTAATATTTAAATTATCGACAAAAAATAGAATTATTTACTTTTTCAAACACAACATGCTTATAGAGTTGCATTTAAAGTGACTTAACTTTTTTTACCTAGGCATAAAACTAATCATTAGATCTGAGCCCACCCACCCAACCGCTCACTCAAAGAAGCAGACGTGGTCAACCACGATAATTTGAGTTTCAGTCTCAACCCACCTCCATCGACCTGGAATTCTTTTTCCGCCGTTCACCAGGTGAACAGTGCAAGAGAAAGTCCTAATATTTCACGTGTGTAAACAAACTATGCTCCACAAGATGGAAATTTAAGTAAAGAGAAAATGTTTATAAAAATGATGAAATACTAAGTGAAGTGAAATTAACAGCACATGAGAACAAAAGTTGACTAACTAACTAACAAAAGTTGACAAACTAACTAATGAAAGTTGACAAACTAGCAAAAGTTTACTAACTAACATAAACTATACAACTAATAAGATATAGTACTTCATTTAGATGTTGTAATTGCTCAGGTGACATATAATCCAATGTGTAGACATCATTTTTGGTGTCACTAATTCTGTTGCAGGAGCCGAAATCTATGAGTTTGATTATCCCTTCTTTCACGCAAATGTTTTCAGCTGTGAACATTGTAAACAACATATTATTTCCAGATGAAAATAAGCAAATAAATATGTATAACTCAAAGTACCCTGTGAGACACATTTATCTTATTTTTCATTTTTTCATTTCATTTCTTCTTTGTTGAAGAAGAAATTTTGCGGATACATTTGTTGTTAAGTGGTGTATTTTTAAACTTGTGTGGTGTTACTGATCTTTTATCGAGAGCCTGCCAAGACGGCCGAAATGGGAAAACCCACCAGATATTGGAGGGCACCAGGGGAAATAAAATACCAGGTATGGACCAAATTCAGAACCTACCCCCTTGAAGGAAGTGAAAGGAAACGTTAAACCTACCCCCCCCCCCCCCCCCCTTCCCGCTGGTTGTGTGCAGGACTAACAAACCGGCCATGTAAATAATTATTGTTAAAAATAAAAAACCAAAATTAAGACCAGGATTAGTAATGGAAATTCACTTAAGCCTGGATACAGACATTTTTAGATTGCGATTTAGAATGTACAAGGCTCCCTAACTTAAAAGATGAACTAAAAATATATAAAAATGTATTGATATGGAAAAACTTAGATATCCCTGGAAATAAGTAATACACCATTCATATTCAATAGTGGCGACACCACCAATAATTTTGGAACAGAATTTGCTTTCAAGAAAGAATCTGTCAGTACAGTTATAGCTAATTGACAATGTTCTAATCAATCAGAGGTATGGATCAGACATAATAGATGTAGGAAGCTATTGAGGAGCAGTTGCAGAAGCTGACCATCTACTTATAAGGGTTAAATATAAGCAGAGAATAAGCGTAATTCACAATGACTGAAATCAAAGACAAAAATGATATGTGTAACAAAAACTTACCAAGAACCACTAATCCCCAAAACCTACAAAATTGAAGTAGAAGCAACATAAATGAACAGTGGGATAAAACATTCTATGAAAAGATCAGCCGAAAAAGTAGGATTTCAGAAAACTAATGGTAGAGTAGGCATGTTTGATAATGATAAGACTGTTGATAAAAAGGAACAAGGTATGAATGACCATGACACAAAGGGAAACCACAAGTATGAGATAAATAAACAATGACGCAAGAAGGGAAACCAAAAAATGTGCACCAAAAGAAAAAGGAATGAGAAAATGCTAAACTAAAAGAAATGGAACACTTATCAAGAAAGAGAAATAGTAGAGCAGGTGTCTCAAACTTGCGGCCCGCAAGATGATATTTAAAAATAATTTTGCATCCCGCTACATGACAGCAAAGATTAGTGTTAATGCAGCCAGCGCATTTTCCCTATTCTCACATCTATAATGTGACCCCTCGCGAGTTTCAGTCGAATCTCACAGACTAGTCCAATTCTGATTTTTATTATGTTTGTATGTTGATTATAATGGTAAAAACCGTTTTAAAATTGGACTAAAAGTTTTTATTTTATAGCATTTTATGATACAAACATGACCAAAGTGCTGTTTTGAGAAAAGTTTAAAAGGTCAGTTAGTGGGTAATTCACAACTATGATTGTATAAATCGTAGCAATCTGACACAGTATCAAAGAATCCCTATTAAAAGTGCCGCTAGTGTTTACGAGTGAGGGAAATTCCGAGCCTGTCAGCTTGGTTACTTTCAAAATAGGGTTTGCCTAAAAGGCCTTTTCTGCGATAAAATAATAAAATCAAAATTCATTTCCCCTATAATAGCATCTTCCTTCACATCAATAATTCATAAATATTGCCTGCTCCTGCCTACTGTTTGAACACGTTTAAGTCTTCAAAGCCTTCATGGAGAAGGCTGGGATGGTTGTTCCTGTACTAAGTGATCGCAAATGGCTCATGGACTTTTTTTTGTTGACCTTACACAGGAGCTGGATGTACTCAACAAGACGTTACAAGACAAGAGGTAGCTTGTCAGTGTTGCCTATGACAATGTCAGGGCATTCTGCACGAAACATGTGTTATGGTTCTTAGAGAAATCTCTGCTATTACCCAACATGCAAAGTACTCATGGACTCGGGCATCATTCAGTAGTAAGTATACCACTGCCATTGCAAAGCTATAGGAAGAATTTGATGAAATTTGATCACATGTTTTTATAGATTGTAACAGTCGCACTTTATTGAATTTGTGATTGCCTTTTTGTAGAATACTTGATGCGGCCCAGTCTCACTCAGACTCTACCTTCTGCGGCCCCCGGATGATTTGTGTGAGACCCCTGTGTTAGAGGAATGCACAGGAAGATAAAAGAAAAAAAGAATGTATACCAAGCCAAATCTTTGTGAGAGCAAAGATGGAAAATTAATTATGAAAAATAGTTAAGAACTGGAGAGGTCGGCTGAATGTTTTGATAGAAGTACTAAATGCGAAAAATGCATAAGATGAAGATTATCAACCACCACATGGGGACCAGACCCTTTAATCAACTCCCCAACTTTGGAAGAAACTACAGACATAGAAGCCACAAAGCCCCTGGACAAGACCTCATCACAGCAGAACTGATTCAAGTTGGAGGAAGAGAACTAAACACTCAGACAAATAAACTTAAATAAAATTTGGCAAGAAGGGAAAATTCCAACAGAATGGGAGGGAAATGGCACTAATAAAAATAATAACTTGTTATTTCTTGTAGCTGAAGAATGGATTTACCAAAAACATCTATTTAATCGTCCTGTCTTCTTTTTAAAGCCAAAACGTATCTTGTTCCACTATTAATTTACTTGTATGCAGTCCGCGATATATATCAAAACCCCAATAGACTATAAAGGTTACAAACTTCAACGCGCAAAATATAGAGGAATTTTCATCTTAAATGTTACATACAAAAAACTGAAAAAAGTAATTGCCAAAAAACTAATACCATACACTGAACAAATACTAGGTGACTACCAATGTGGAATCAGAGAAAACAGATCAATAACTGATTAGATTTTCACCATCAGATGCCTCTGAAAAAATTTACAAATATAACATACCAGTACATCAACTTTATGTGGACTATAAAATGGCCTATAACAGCATCAAAAGAAAAAAAAAATCTAATTGAGGCTCTGCGGGAGTTTGATATTACCAAAAAACTGACAAGACTGATACATGTAACATTAAGGTACTCAAAAAGCAAAAGCAAGGTTCATGGAAAATATTCAAGGGAATTTCAGATTAGACGAGGCATAAGACAAGGAGACTCACTGTCTTGTATGCTTTTTAACATAACATTAGAGAACGTTATAAGAAGCAGACATATTGACACCAGAGGAGCAATATCAGGATACTTTCTGAGGGAAACTTAAGATCAAAAGAGGAAAAGGGCTCAAAGCTAGACTGTCAAGGTCCTGGAATCATGAGTGAATGATTTATCGTAGTCAGTTCTCGTTTATGATAGCAAGGCCAATGGTTCGGCTAATGTTTTATTTTTAAATGGGGAAAGTGAGCTGCTGTAATTAAACTTAACAGAATGAAAGTATGTTTTAAGGACTGAAAGCTGTTAGGCGATGCATAATGGATGTCCATTGGTTGACGGCTGTGTTGATGGTTTAAAGTGAAAATGTACATAAATATATACTGTGACTGATAGGGAGATCAGAGAGGGAACAATGGTATTTATGTCTAGAGCTTAAGGTTACTAGACCTGTAGTTTATTTGAAGAGAAAGTAATTTTAGTAGACATCTAATAGGCATCAATAAGCTAAACAAAGTTTGGGAAAACATGAAAAACGATGCAGCAAAACAACAAGCATGTCAGCAAAAAGCCTTCTTCAGGGAACAAACAACAGTAAAAACAATATAAAATAAAAGCAAACAGCTGCAACAGAGATCTCCGTGAGGACAGTGAGAGGAATGTGTCAAGTGTTATTTTGTGCACTGGTGTAAGAGTCACTAGAAGAACACTTGACACAGACAGACATCTAACAGCTTGACATATGGCGCACCACAAATATTTGAAAACATCAAACACAAACGAAACATATTTTAACCAGACCTAGGGTAAGATTAATAGATGATGTGGAAACAGATCTACAGCAACTGAGAATCCAAGCATGGAAAAGAAAAGGCACAGTTTGGTCTGAGTGGAAGGAAGTGGTGTGTAATGTAAGTTATGCCAACAAACTTAACCAAAGAACTACATCTGCTAACGGGATCATTGCAACACTACTTACTACATTCAGCATTCCTACTCCCTCACTCTCCCCTGCATTACTGACCACCACCACACTACCGCTAACTACCAGCAGTTAAGCATACTCCTACGTACACTCATCATCCAAGCATACTCCTACGTACACTCATCATCCAAGCATACTCCTACGTACACTCATCATCCAAGCATACTCCTACGTACACTCATCATCCAGTCCACATTCCAGCACACTAACTTTTACTTGTCTCATTCATAACAAAGACTCTCAGGGATTTTAAGACCTTGACAAAAACAGTTGCAGTGTGTGCTCCTTTATAAACATTTTAAAATTATTAAATATTATGCAAAAATTTGTAAACATTGTAATAGTAATGAAAACTGATAGGTTCAGCATCAAATATCTCCATTCGGTCAAATGTTGACATAAGTGCTTAGACTTGGTCAAATGTACACTTAAGTGATTAGACTTGGTCTAATGTTAACATAAGTGCTTAGACTTGGTCTAATGTTAACATAAGTGCTTAGACTTACTTGGTCAAATGTTAACATAAGTGCTTAGACCAGTTCAGTGCACCAGATCAACTAATTTCAAGAATGTCATTTTGTGAGAAATCCACATAAAATGTCTTCACCTAAAGCATTTTAAAGAATTAGGTCACCAAAAGGTGTTAAGAACTTACGCTTTATGTCACAATGTACGTAGCCTTTATCATTGAGATAGACGAGAGCCAGGAGAATACTACGCACGATTGATGGCAATTTGTCCAAGACATCATACTTTTTATCTGCAGATTGCTTAGCTACTAGCTGGTAAAGTGATTCCCCTGAAGAAAAGATAAGAAATATAAAATCAATGAAAAATATAATTTAATAGGTTGGACATCTCTGCTTAAGATCAAATTAGGTATCTTTGGACTTTGCGGAAAAAATCATTTTGTTAAAAGTCACACTAATGTTTCAACTTAAAAATAAATTTAGTAATTGAAGCTACAGTTGGTGTATCAGATCTCTCTCTGTGTAACCATTTCTTTATCAAGACCCAAAACAGAAATTTCAGTGGACAAACAGTTGTTAATAAACTTTTTTGTTTTTATGTGGAGACATTTCATAGATACCCTTTCAACCTTAAAATAAAACATCGACCCCAAACTAAGCTCCACTAACAACCAAAGCCAAAACGTTCTTCTCTTATTGTCCTGTCATATGATTCAAGTTTCCTAACATCTTGTTCTACTATTGTGATGAGTCCACAGTCTTGACTATAAATATATTTCCACACCATATTTTGATTAAAATCAGGTACAACATTTTTAGTTAAAAACCACGTTAGAAGCTAACATGTCTGTGAAAGATTTCTCAATGTAAATATCACTAGCTCTTTGAGAAAAGGGGGGGAGGGGGGTTGGGGAGTCTGGTCTTTTTTGTTGGTAGTAAATTCCAATTTAGTTTAACAAGTATCTTATATTAAGAGTAATTATTTAGTTTGAAATATACCTGCATCTTCCAATAATATAAAAAATGTGTTGTTTCCATCATAGACGTAACCAAAAAGTTTTAAGATGTAGTCAGAGCAGTTCAGATCTTTAAGAACTTGTAATTCACCATAAGAAAAATCTTCTTTTGAGACCTGGCAGAGAGCAATCTCAAATAAATGTATTCATCATTAAAAGTTATACTCAAAGTAAATTAATTCAATGCCTCCTCCATCTCCACCCTACATTTCAAAAATGTTATTTATGTTTAACATGGTTTAACAGCATAAAATCTTCTTTTTTCAATGTTAGTGTTCACTTTACCTTCTTCCATACTAAAATGTTGTTAGTGCTTGCCTTACCTTCTTCCTTACTAAAGTCTTGTCAGTGACTGTATCTTTCACTTTTTCCACGTGACCAAAGTTTACTGGGTCCATTTGCTGAAGTACAACCAAATTTTCTTGCTTGGAATAAACCTGTCCCAGACAAATAAAAATTCAATTGGACTAGCAAAGGAATATAATCTTAAAATTTCTTCCCATAGATTCCCTGGATGATTGCATGACCCATCACCAATCAAACATATTTGGATTACTTATCACCAGTCAAACATATTTGGATCAACTATTACCAATCAAGCATACATAATATTACCCATGACCAGTTTTAATATATTATTTACTATATGAATACAATTTGCTTTTCTTTTTTAAATATCCAAAAAGTCACAGATTGTCACAAATTCTGATTATAAGCCAAACCTGTAAAATATAGTTAATAATGCAGAATTAACCAAATTCTGAACCAGGATATTAAAAAATTGGTTGGTGCCACAAAAATTAGCCAGTTTATGACTCAACAGCAAATTGATTGGTTTAGCCACCTGGTCAGAATTCCTGTCAATCATTTGCAAAGATACAAATGCAGGCACTCCATTTTCAGGGCCCGAGGAATTGCACATGGATGGTGCATCAAATATGTTAATGACTCTGACGGTGAATAAACTAGGTTAATAACTCCTGAAATTCAATTCCACTACATGAACCTTCAGCAGGACTCACATCTTGTGGCTGATGAAGATGAAGTGGGCAGGAGATTCTAACTGCATATCTTGTGTTTCATTTTATAGAGTCATGACTAGAAGCTGACAGCAACAACCCCCATCTCAAATATTTTTGTGACTTTTATAAACCTCTTTTTGAAAACAACTGATTTGGATCAACTGATTTTGGGCAGCAGTAAATCAATGCTTACATCATTGTCAAGACTTTGGTCTATCGCAGCTTTAAACTGCACCTTGACACCCACACTGAAAAAAAAAAAAACTTCCATTAGTTAAAATGACATTTAAAAAAGAAAAACTATTGCTAAGTGCTCAAAGAAAGACAACTTATAAACTTATAATTTTTAACAATGCCTGTATATATGTTCCTTTATGGTATCTAATGCTAAAAAATTACTTAATCTCAGTGCGTCTAATTGAAAGTTGACCGATTCATGTCAAGCTATAATTGTTTTGATCAAATCAATTTTAATACATATGAATTCAGCTTAAACTGAAGTCTTTTTATCCCACGACATAAGCAACTTTTTCTGAAGTTAAACAAAACCATGACACATTTCTCCATGGTGAACACATACTAAGCTTTAGAAAATGTTTGGTATGAGCCAGAAGGTTCATCTTCGTCTCCACCATCGTCTCCACCATCTTGCAATTCTTCATCTCTAGCACGAGTGCTGCTTTCTGAACATTGGAAAAGTGCGAAAAAAAATCATTTTATTTTGGAATACAATTTTTGAATATTTAACAGAACAGTCAGTAATGTGCTTATAAAATGATTTTTTTTTTAAAACTAAAACCCATCAATTCTCCAATTCTTAATTATAGTTTATGATTTCACATCTTTAATTGTTAAAAGTGATCCATTAATCAGAAAACACCCCTGTTTACCCTCAAACTCCTAAAATCGTACAATATCGTCTCAAAATCTTACAATGCAGTTTCTTAATAGTAAATAATTAAACATACGGTATATTAAATGTATACAGACCTGTTTACTCTTATGTTTTTAGAGTAAAACGTACGATTTTGAGGTGTATACATTATAAATAATGTATGTTAATTTTTTACTATTAAGATAACGTATTGAACGATTTTGTGATGATATTGTACGATTTTAAGAGTTTGAGGGTAAACATGTCTGTGTATACAACCACTAATCACATCACATGTCTAGTGGGATTGGGTTAAGCTGGTGTAAAAAAAGGTAACTTCTAAAAGTAGATGACCGACGATTATATTGAAATCTGCAGTCATTTTGTTTTGCAGATGTGTATTTGCTATATATATTAATTTATATTGAGTGGATGATTGGAATTATTATGTCACAAAATTCCGTTATATTGAGTGGATGAATGAAATTATTATGTCACAAAATTCCGTCAGACAGCAAAGAAGAAAACAAAAGCGAGGATTGACTAAAATTGTCACTAAGGCGACTACGCTAATATTGCTGTGTCCCCCCGTGTTTTTGTCTGGTGTGTTAATTATGAAAACACACAAAGCAACAGTACGACCATCACCACTACCATTATGAATATTTGCAGTGTTAATTTTATAGACTTAAAATATTTACCTCCCCCCCTTTCCCGGCTGGTACACCTTTACACAAAATCTCTTAAATCAACACCACTGGCTTCCCCTCTCAGGGCAAATGTAATATTTGGTCCCCAACCAATAGTATTTCTCGATCCATTGATTTCTGGATGTAGAAAGTAGATTTAACAACCGAAAATGTACTTTTCATTTATTATTTTTAATCGGAAAAACTACCGGAATGTATAAATTTGCAACTCGGTTTCTTAAAATTGTAGTTGTGACAGGTTTGGCGTACACTCATAAAAGACACCTCAAAATCATACATTGAATGCCAAAGTCCTAAGAGTAAATAGGTCTGCATTAAAACGGGATGCATCAACCAATAATTGTTTTTTCAGAATTGGACTGATTTAAAATATGATTTTTGTGATTTTTATTGTTATTTGGAGACAATGAACTGGGCAAGATGAAGAGTTCCAAGCACGGCTGTGCAGGGGAGTTTTGGGCCCAGAGCAAATGCAAATTTTGGCTCCCACAAATTTAAACATAATCGTATCAAATGTTTTAAATGCAGCCTTGGGTGCAGGGCTTCGAGTGATTTCCTCCATTTCTTGACCTCTGCATGTGTGAGTTCCAAGACTTAAGAACTTGAATGGGGAAGATTTTTAAATGGATGATGAAATGGAAAAAAAACAACAAATTCACAAAATTTTATTGAAAGGTAAAGTTTAAGCATAATTTATATCTTTACTTGCTATTGTTCAGGAAAAATTTAAGACCCACTCCAAGTAAAATATTATTGCCATATAACGTTAATTTTCTGTCTAATAATAAAATTATTTTTAAAAAGAGGTCTTAAAACTAAGCTTAGAAATTATAAACATGTTTTAAAGCAGTGGTTGCCAACGTAAGATGCTTCACTTTGATAGTGAGTTAACTTTGTGCTGGCCACATGTCATTATACCTCACATTAGAATATCTATTTTTAAAAAAACACACTTACTAAATGCTGTATAGAATTATTTATCCATTCATAATGGATTTGATGAAATGCAAAATAACAAAATAAATCTTAACTAATGTGATTCTTCTTTATCTTTTCTCCCACTTAACTTTTTAAAATCATTTTGTTTTTTTGTCAAATGAATGAAGAAGCAGTAAGTTGATTTGTTATATCTATCAGGCATCCACAGACCTAAGCATTTCATTTGTTTGGCGACCCGTTTTCAAGAAAGAAAACCACAGAGGATTTTGTGACTTTCTTATAACTTATAGTAGCAAATGAAGTTTTAAACATGATAATCTTAATTAACTGTCTACATGTAAGCCACCCTACATCTTATAAATTAAGTCAAATAACTTTAAATAAGTATTATAATGTGTCCAGACAAAATTATTAAGTCCAGACCAGTTATTAGATAAATAAATAATTAAATAATGTACTGTATTCTAGTGTAATTTAAATGGAATAGCTCAATTACAAAAACAAATTGAGCAGTAATCTGAACAGTGTAGCCTAACTACCTGAACAGTGTAGCTTAACTTAAACTATAAGCTGGGGGTAGGGCCGATTGGGCCTATTCTATTAAGTACTTTGACACAAATTTTAAATATTGTCCGATTGCCATGTATGATATATGATCATAAAAGGCTAGCTATAAGCTTTACAATAACACCAATTTTATCTTTCTATCTTTTATAGAAGTGGAGTTATGATTTTTTTTGGTGATTTTTTAAATCCCCCTTCTTTATCTTAGTATTTAACTGAAAAAACGTGTGACCCACTTTCCAAATTTCTGCCTTATTTTGCCCAAAACTTTTGGATTTTAAAAGATAATGCTACCAAATTTTCAGGAGACATTCTCAATGCAAAATACAACAAAAATTGTATATAACATCAAGACTTTTATTTTTGTATATATTTATTTAAGGGTATGTTCAGAAAAAAAGTGAACAGAAAATTTGGAAAATCATTATTTATAATTTATACAGGAATTAAATAAAAAAATAACATGTTTATGAATTTTAACTAATTTTATTATGCTTGTTAAATCTTAAATCAATCATTCTATTTATTAAAAGGTAAGTAAGTCTTTTTTATATATAAAATTGAACGCATGTAATTATAAATAAAAGTCACTCACATAAAATCATCCATGTCCATGATAATGACTTTAATGATACTAAGTACTAAGTTATATGCCTATCATGGCCTATGCCTATGGCGTTATAGCCTATAGGGCTATGCTTCATTTCACTTTAAAACACTTTTCATTTGACTAATTTTGATTGAATTGACTGAATTATTTATTTAAAATAAAAGTAGATAAGAATAAAACAAATTAGGCTAAGCCCTTTGAGGTTTGAGATTTAAAATAATGTTAAAAATGCGATATAATATAAAGCCAGTAAAGAGTAGTAAAGAGTAAAGGGAGACAAACCTTGTCTGGTACTCTCCTCCGTGAAATGAATCTGAAACGTCACCAGTTAAAAATTTCAAATAAAACAATTTTACTTCGACTTCACACTCATCCTATTTATTTCACGGGCCAATATATATCTAATCAGATCAAAAACATAATTTTAACAATTAAAAACAAAAAGCTACAAATTAAAATACATATGTTTTACTACTTCACACTTGACAGACTTCACTTCTGCAAAATTGTCAAGATATTTTTGTTTCGAGCTCGTTTCAGTTTCCGTGGATGTTTCACAATCATTTATTCATTAGGCGGCAACGAGTCGACCACTATACGTTACTACAATATTCTCTACACACATGATGACACATGCAATTATATTTGTGTTCGTCTGAGGAAACTCTAAAAAAATGTCAATAAATGTGATGTTTATGCTACTTACTTCCTTAGGGGCCCCGGCGAAATGGCTGCGGGGCCCCAAGATTGTACAGATAGGAGGAGTAGTAGGAGACACTAAATTTGTTGGTTCGTCAGCTAAACTCATGTCCCTTTTAGAAAGGTGCTGTTAAAAACATCGTTGCCATCCACAATTAGAAAAAAATCCAGAAAACCCCAGATTTTCCCTAGTTCACTCCCACTACATTCAAACAAAAGACAAAACTGGGATTGCTTCAATTTTTTTTAAACGTAGAATGTTGTTCATTTAAATGTCATAAATATCAGCGAGGACGAGGGGCACTGTAAGCGGTTCACTTTAAAGAAAAGGACTTCTTTTACCTGACAGTATTAATATACAGTAACCGGACGACAAAATGCTAGCATGGTATAGGATCCGCCCATCAACTAGGTCACTCTCGTTAGAGGGTCTAAGAAAGTGTGACAACCAATGATCAATGACAACGTTACATTACGACACAGACAACTTCATTGTTCATTGTTTTTGTTTTTTTTAAACAACCCCCCCCCCCCCCACAAAAAAAACAAAAAAAAAAAAAACAAAAAAAAAAAACAACAACCTAGGTTATAAACTCTTTACACAATCCCCATTTTTTTCCTTGAATAAATTTTTATGATTGCATTAAAAAGGGGTGCCAGTGTTAAGCTTGCCCGGGGTGCCAGCAACGGTATGACCGGCCCTGGTAACAGATAACACTACACTATATATATTTATCCATCAGAACTGACTCTACGATGGCTATGCAATTATTCAATAATAATTCAATTCAGGCTGTGATGACGATATTCAAGAATTAGAACCACTATTGGCGAGACTCTGATGACAATATTCAAGAATTAGAACCACTATTGGCGAGTCTCTGGTGACAATATTCAAGAATTATAACCACAATTGGCGAGACTCTGATGACAATATTCAAGAATTAGAACCACTATTGGCGAGTCTCTGGTGACAATATTCAAGAATTAGAACCACTGTTGGCGAGTTTCTGATGACGATATTCAAGAATTAGAACCACTGTTGGCGAGTCTCTGGTGACAATATTCAAGAATTAGAACCACTGTTGGCGAGTCTCTGATGACAATATTCAAGAATTAGAACCACTATTGGCGAGACTCTGATGACAATATTCAAGAATTAGAACCACTGTTGGCGAGTTTCTGATGGCAATATTCAAGAATTAGAACCACTGTTGGCGAGTCTCTGGTGACAATATTCAAGAATTAGAACCACTGTTGGCGAGTCTCTGATAACGATATTCAAGAATTAGAACCACTGTTGGCGAATCTTTTTTCTTTGGTTTCTTATTCCAAACGCTAATGTCTTGTAATATCAAACAACTTACGCTAAATCATTAATTATTGTGATTAGTGATTACATTGTTCGCAGGGACCAAGGCCGTTTCAACAATTGGACCAAGTGAGCAACATCGCCAAGGCTTTCGTGGCCTCAGTTCGTGCAGACATGTCCCACAATTAAGGCTCCTTTGTTGAGTTTTCCCCCAAAGTCTGAAGATGTTAGTTTAGATGCCAGCTGGGTTTTACAATGTTATTTCATTTTGACAACAACAAAAATTTGAAACATGTTTGAGCAATACTCATCATTCTCACATATATAATGTTATTTTATTTTATTTTTTATTTATCACCTATAAAAAAAGCATTAGATTACCTGGAATGAAACAATCCTTCCATATTATTTTTTTTTTTTAAATAAAAAAATCCCCAGAATGACAGTAAAGCCCCAGCAGTGGCAACTCTTGTAGAAAACGCCACTTCAAATTTCCCGGAAACAAGTAACAGGCCGCAGTAATCCTCATATTTTTGAGTGTGGCGGACTGGCGTAAATTATCCGCACTACAGCAACGACTGGTACTCACATTATTGAATATTTTAAAAGTTTTTAATTTTTTTTTTTACATATTATTAAAATTCTCAGGTTTTGATGATAGGTGACTGGGGATACACGTAGGCAGCACGGTAGGCATACTGGTGCATGTGTCCGTGAACAAACTTTTTGAGAATCATTGGGTTAGGAGGCAGATCATAGGACGTTCTCATTCCTATTAATAGCTACCGTATTAAAAGTAAATGTAGGTCAGTAGTACAGCCCATGACAACATTGCCCCGTAGTTGGCGTGGCCGTGTCAGCGATGAGCTGTACTTGCTGTCTCTGTACTTGCTGTTTCTCTACTTGGTGTCTCTGTACTTGCGTTTAAACCTTCTTATACTCAACTACTTATACAGTTTAACACTTTGCGTCAAGCGACGTGACCCACTTTTTTTCTTTGTAGGCCTACCGCCAACAGGCCTGGGGGATTTTCATGTGATGGTTAAATATACACCAGGCAACACCCCCCCCCCCACACACACACAGTTTTACCCAAGCAGAAGCATTGCGCAATAGTGGAGGAGTGGTTGCGGACTGGAAAAAAAAATGTAATAAATGTAAAAAAAACAAAAACAACAATTTGTAGGCCTACCGCCAACAGGCCTGGGGGATTTTCATGTGATGGTTAAATATACACCAGGCAACACCCCCCCCCCACACACACACAGTTTTACCCAAGCAGAAGCATTGCGCAATAGTGGAGGAGTGGTTGCGGACTGGAAAAAAAAATGTAATAAATGTAAAAAAAACAAAAACAACAACGCAAAAATACTTGTCTCCCCCTTTTAAATCAGTTTGTTTTCAATAATGAATGAGAACTATTTTATATAAAAAATAGGATTTTCAAGCTTGACAGGAGTCAGGACGCCATTTAATTTCTTGCAATGGGCGTCATGCACTATGTTCGTCTCTAATACCCTGATAAGTTTGTGGTGTGTGTGTGTGTGTGTGTGTTTTCTTTCTAAGAGTTAACGGCGGGCGTTTAATCAGTACAGAAGAAATACTAGGCAGTTATTTCTGTGTGTTTCTGTGTGTTGCTGTGTGTTTCTCGTGTGTATCAGTAAGTGTATGTGCACTCATTAATTATAATGATTGGCGGTATATTTTAACATCACCAAGCTAAAAATCTGCAAAATAAATTAAGCCAAACAGTTAATTCTAAATCACATGATATTAAATGTTATCAAATTGTTATAGTAGGCCTACATTCAATTGTTATCAATTTATTTATAGTATATTCAATTGTTATCAATGTGTATTTATAGGGTATTCAATAATTATCAATGTGTATTTATAGGGTATTCAATAATTATCAATGTGTATTTATAGGGTATTCAATTGTTATTATTTTTTTTGGAGATATTCAAATGCAATAAACTTTTCTAGTGTGACGTAGGTGCAGTAAATTATTGCTTACTCTTACATGCCCCAAATTATTCAGTTATGTCTGCAATATGCAACATACATTAGTCTGGGTTTTCTTTTACTTCAGCCATGTCAAGTTTTGTATGCAAGGAACTTTTGTCTCAAACTAACTAAATGTTTATCAAATTGAATACCAAATAAATAAAATCAATTTCTTATTTTTTATTTTTTATCTTTTAGATCAGCAATTTATTTAAATCATTTCAAACTGGCCATAAACTAACCACTGAACAATTTTATTACAGGGAACTGTGTTTATTATTGTGGTACACATCTCGGATTCACCAGACCTTCCAACACATCCCATCTTGGCATTTCAATACTGTCTCATCTTTCTAATCAATCACGGCGCGTGGGGAGGGGGGTGTCTTAAAAGAAGTGACGTTTCATAATCCTCTCTACAGACTCCAGACCGCCCTCAGTCCACAGCTGCTTGTTGCCGTCGGCGATATCACGAGTGACGATGTAGACGTCATCATCTTGAGACGGATGCTGGATACGTTCAATGATCTCGGAGAAGTGGAACCCAGCCCTCCAAACAGTGGACCCACCTCTGAAGGGGTGCTGAGTCCAGAACTTGGCTGCAGATTTCATGGGTGCCTTCCATTCTCCCCAGAAGACGTTCTTCAGCTCGGCGAGCACGTCAGCCTTCATGTCTTCCGTCACACGGAGCTCTCCAGGCTCAGACCCGGCGATGGGCAGTCCCTTCTGGTTGCACTCCTCGAATACGCGGACCTTCTCCCCCTCGGCGTAGCTCGCGAGCAGGACATAGCTATCGGACGTGTTGCTCTTGCCAAGCTCGTAGACTTTGCCGACCAGGGAGTCGGTGAACTTGACAGTGGCCTTGGTGGCCTCGTTCTCCTGCCAGTGGCGCTTGGCGAAGGTCATAACGACCTTGCTCATCGGAACGGATCTCAAAGCATTGAGGGCGTCCACAATTGGTTTGGCTCTGGAGAACAATGAAAAAAAAAATTAGTTTAAATAATATGTTCAAATATCCTCAGAATAATCTTTCAATCTGAAAACTTACGTCGACAATGAAATGTGTCTCACTGCTCAAGCTTTTTACGTCGACAATGAAATGTGTCCCACTTCTCAAGCTTTTTACGTCGACAATGAAATGTGTCCCACTGCTCAAGCTTTTTATGTCGACAATGAAATATGTCCCACTGCTTAAGCTTTTCATGTCGACAATGAAATGTGTCCCACTGCTCAAGCTTTTTATGTCGACAATGAAATGTGTCCCACTGCTCAAGCTTTTTATGTCGACAATGAAATGTGTCCCACTTCTCAAGCTTTTTATGTCGACAATGAAATGTGTCCCACTGCTCAAGCTTTTTACGTCGACAATGAAATGTGTCCCACTGCTCAAGCTTTTTATGTCGACGATGAAATGTGTCCCACTGCTCAAGCTTTTTATGTCGATAATGAAATGTGTCCCACTGCTCAAGATTTTTATGTCGACAATGAAATGTGTCCCACTGCTCAAGCTTTTTACGTCGACAATGAAATATGTCCCACTGCTCAAGCTTTTTATGTCGACAATGAAATGTGTCCCACTGCTCAAGCTTTTTATTTTATTTCAATAGCGCAACCCCCCTCCCCCCTTTTTCCCCTCCCCCTCCCCCCCCCTAACTCCCAAACTATAAATCATTTTATTCTCCATTGTGACAAAACGTCTAGTTGAGTCTATTGAAGACAAATTGAAGAGCTAAAGATACTTACTTGAGCTCAGGCCACTGAACCTTCAAGAGGGCGTCCTTGGGGATGGCCAAGATGACCTTACGGGCACAGATGAACTCATCCAGTCCCTGGGGGTGAAGATGACAACATATATATATGTATTTTAAATATAAGAAGAAAATGTAAATGACACTGAAGTCTAACAATGTAAGTATTGAACTGAAGTCTACGTGCCGTGTGTCTGCATGTGTGTGGTCTGCCATGTGTCTGCATGTGTGTGGTGTGCCGTGTGTCTGCATGTGTGTGGTGTGCCGTGTGTCTGCATGTGTGTGATGTGCCATGTGTCTGCATGTGAGTGGTGTGCCGTGTGTCTGCATGTGTGTGGTGTGTCGGGTGTCTGCGTGTGTGTGTTGTGTGCCGTGTGTCTGCATGAGTGTGTGGTGTGCCGTGTGTTTGCGTGTGTGTGGTGTGCCGTGTGGCTGCATGTGTGTGATGTGCCATGTGTCTGCATGTGAGTGGTGTGCCGTGTGTCTGCATGTGTGTGGTGTGTCGTGTGTCTGCATGTGTGTGTTGTGTGCCATGTGTCAGCATGTGTGTGGTGTGCCGTGTGTCTGCATGTGTTTGGTGTGCCGTGTGTCTGCATGTGTGTGGTGCGCCATGTGTCTGCATGTGTGTGGTGTGCCTTGTGTGTGCATGTGAGTGTTGTTTGCTATGTGTCTGCATGTGTGTGGTCTGCCATGTGTCTGCATGTGTGTGGTGTGCCGTGTGTCTGCATGTGTGTGGTGTGCCGTGTGTCTGCATGTGTGTGATGTGCCATGTGTCTGCATGTGATTGGTGTGCCGTGTGTCTGCATGTGTGGTGTGTCGTGTGTCTGCATGTGTCTGTTGTGTGCCATGTGTCAGCATGTGTGTGGTGTGCCGTGTGTCTGCATGTGTTTGGTGTGCCGTGTGTCTGCATGTGTGTGGTGTGTCATGTGTCTGTATGTGTGTGGTGTGCCGTGTGTGTGTGTGTGTGTGTTGTGTGAGTGTGGTGTGCCGTGTGTCTGCGTGTGTTGGGTGTGTCGTGTGTCTGCATGTGTGGTGTGTGGTGTGTCTGTATGTGTCTGTTGTGTGCCATGTGTCAGCATGTGTGTGGTGTGCCGTGTGTCTGCATGTGTTTGGTGTGCCGTGTGTCTGCATGTGTGTGGTGTGCCATGTGTCTGCATGTGTGTGGTGTGCCTTGTGTGTGGATGTGAGTGTTGTTTGCTATGTGTCTGCATGTGTGTGGTGTGCCATGTGTCTGCATGTGTGTGGTGTGCCCTGTGTCTGCATATGTGTGTTGTGTGCCATGTGTCTGCATGTGTGTGTTGTGTGCCATGTGTCTGCATGTGTGTTTTGTGTGCCATGTGTCTGCATGTGTGTGGTGTGCCGTGTGTCTGGATATGTGTGGTGTGCCGTGTGTTTGCATGTGTATATTGTGTACCATGAGTCTGCATGTGTGTTTTGTGTGCTATGTGTCTGCATGTGTGTGGTGTGCAGTGTGTCTGCATGTGTGTGGTGTGCCATGTGTCTGCATGTGTGTGTTGTGTGATATGTGTCTGCATGTGTATGTGGTGTGTCTGCATGTGTGTTGTAGAAAATGGTGATATTTCAACGTGCCGTGTGTCTACGTGTCGTGTGTCTACGTGCCGTGTGTCTACGTGCCACTCACAGTTTCACTGACAAGGCCGTCCTCACTTTTGGTTTTCTTCAGTCTGAGCAGATATCTGGTATTATTGACTCTCTGAATGGAGTCTACGTCTCTGTTCATGGTTATGTTGTGTCTGGGGGAGATATAGGCAGTCAATGGATCAAGAGGAAAGGAATACATATATTTGAAGACAATAGATTCATTTGAAGTCAATAGATTCATTGAAGTCGATAGATTCATTGAAGTCAATAGATTCGTATATACATTGAATAAAGAAATCAATGAATGGAATCAACTTAGTTTTCAATATTGATCACCATATCCACTGTATCCACATATCCACCGTATCCACAATCCATGGCGTATCAATAAACAGATCATTAAATTTATTTTCCATACTAGTTTTTCATTTAGTTTTTAATTAAAAAGACAACAAGAGCAGGAGAGAGAGAGAGAGAGAGGCACGATAAAGAGGAAGAGAGAATGAGAGAGAATGAGAGAGAAATAGAGTGAATGAGAGAGGTAGAGAGAATGAGAGAGAGAGAGAGAGAGAGGTAGAGAATGAGAGAGGTGGCGAGAAAAAGAGAGAGAGGGAGAGAATGAGAGAGCGAGATAAACATAGAGAGGGAACGAGATAGAGAGGGGAAGAGAGAGAGAGAGAGAGAGAGAAAGAGAGAGAGAGAGAGAGAGAGAGAGAGAGAGAGGTAGAGAAAAAATGAAATAGCAAAACGAAGTATGTGGAAGCTTGAATTAGAGAGCAGGACAAAAAGATAAGGACGTTTCGGCATAAAGTCTTCTTCAGCTAACAGTAGAAATGAAAATATCACAAAGAACAGAGCACAGTCAACAACTCAAGACATCTCCATTACTAGGCTTGAATGCAGTCTTTTCATTTATATAAAAAAAAAAAAGCAAGTAAAATTCAGAGCGAATAAGAAAAAAAAAATTAATAGAAATGAAAAAAAACCAACAAAATAACAAGAACAAAAACACCATTAAATATCTGCTCACTTCTCACTGGCCTCCAGGAACTTGGAGATCATCTCTTTGGGCAGGGCATCCATACCTTCTTTGATTTTGTGCAGAGAAATGTTACCACTGTGTGTGTGTGGGGGGGGAGGAGAACACGGGCAATGTTAGCAAACCATAAATGTATTAGTAACACCTTCTAATTATAACATCTCTCTATCAGTAACATCTTCTAAATATTACATCTCTCTATCAGTAACATCTTCTAAATATTACATCTCTCTATCAGTAACATCTTCTAAATATTACATCTCTCTATCAGTAACATCTTCTAAATATTACATTTCTCTATCAGTAACATCTTCTAAATATTACATCTCTCTATCAGTAACATCTTCTAAATATTACATCTCTCTATCAGTAACATCTTCTAAATATTACATCTCTCTATCAGTAACATCTTCTAAATATTACATCTCTCTATCAGTAACACATTTCAATCCTCATTTCATTAAGAAATGTTTAAAAAATTGTTTTCGAGCATTGATTCTGTTTGTGTAAATCATGACGTGCGATTATTTCTACCTGAAGTAATCGAATTCATTTCCAAAAGCCAAGATGGCGCTTGCGTCCTTGTAATGTGGTGAGTCGAACTTGGCGAGGGCGTAGAAGAAAGCTTTACCGTCTGGGCTGGTGACCTTGTCAAGAGCCTCTTCTAGGCTAGAGGCAGAAGATCACACATGTTGAAATGGATCACGTGACCCATGTTAAAATAGGCAACTTCACATAAGTTATCATGTTACCCCTCTTACCGTTTTTTGTGGAAAAAGAGCAGATGAGTAAATGTACTTTACAAAAAAGATTTGTCTATATGCCACTGTCTATGTGCCACTGTCTATATGCCACTGTCTATGTGCCAATGTCTATGTGCCACTGTCCATGTGCCACTGACTGCGTGCCACAGTCTATGTACTAATGTCTATGAGCCACTGTCTATATGTCACTGTTTATGTGTTACTGTCTATGTGTCCCTGTCGTTTTCCATGCATAAGGAGAAACTGTGTTCGGCAATTTAAATGTTGAAGCGACTTATACCCGGTATATAATAGTCATAGTATACAATTGTCATAGTATACAATAGTCATAGTATACAATAGTCGTAGTATTCTAGTCATAGTATACAATAGTCATAGTATACTATACTGAATAGTCAAACTCATGACACACGTTCTGGTGTACATACTGACACACTCATTGTCGTACACATTGACGCTCACCCTGACACACACACACACACTGACAGACATTGAAACCCACCCTGAAACGCACCCTGACACACACACTGACACACACACTCACGTGTATTTGTACAGCTCTTTTTCCTCTGCCCCAGTGACCTTGACCTTGAGTTTCATGCGGTCTTCTCTAGGCAGTGTGTCTTCTTTATGACCGGTCAGTTTCTCCAGGATGTACCTGAGGGGGAGAGGGGGTAGGGAGAGGTGGAGGAGGAAGGGGGGGGGGTAGAGATTTGGATCATTTATCATAAACACAGAAAAATCACAGGTCTGCCATTTCCAACACTGAGAAATGAAACAGTCTACACAATATTAACAATAGAGCCAATCCTAGGAAGACAGACCCATAGCGTCAGATTGATCAGATTTATCAACCACCACAATCAGTTGATCAGATTTATCAACCAACACAATCAGTTGATCAGATTTATCAACCACCACAATCAGTTGATCAGATTTATTAACCACCACAATCAATTGATTAGATTTATCAACCACCACAATCAGTTGATTAGATTTATCAACCACCACAATCAGTTGATCAGATTTATCAAGCACCACAATCAGTTGATCAGATTTAACAGCAAACACAACCAATCTCTATATATAATTCACCAGCAAAGGTCAAACACCACGCAGGCTATATATAGATGCGCCAGAGGGTAGTTCAATTATGAGTTCACTAGTGAGCAAAATATAATTGGCAATAACTACGCTAAATGATAGATTTTTTTTTTAATAACGCAATAGCGTTTGGTGCGTAATATTTTCTTTTCGAAAATGAAATCGTCTCAATTGAAGCATTGCGTCCAAACTATTCGGTTTAAAAGTGGTTGGGACATGAGAATATTAATATAGTTCACGGGCGTGAAATAAAAAGTGTGCAGTGGCGTATCATGGGGGAAGGGGTGTAGCAAATTATGTGCGTTACTTGAGTTCACGTTTTGTCAAGTAACTTTACTAGATTTATGGAAAGTTCACGCATTGCTGTCGCCAATATTTGGCGAGCTATATCTCGTTGATTATATTTATCAACGAATGCAACCAATTGAAATTACAAACCAACACAATCAATTGATATATTTATCAACCAACACAATCAATTAATTAGATTTATAAACCAACACAATCAATTGATTAGATTTATTAACCAACTCAATAAATAGGATAGATTTAACAACCAACACAATAAAAGAGATGCGATATTGCTGTCGATAGATTTCAAAGAGAGATAATTTTAGCCATCGTATCCAAAATATAAGATACTGGAGCAAATTGCATCAAAAAGCTTTGATAATGCACTCTATAGAGCAGAGGTAAAAGGCAGAGGTGAAGGGCAGAGGTGAAGGGCAGAGGTGAAGGGCAGAGGTGGCTGACCATATAACCAACTTACTTGACGAAGCGACCTTGGTTCTGTTTCTCCTCAGGGGTGAGATTGTAAGGGATCTGGGCCCCTGATTTGATGTCCTCCTCTTTCAGATGTTGACCTCTCATCAAGTACATCTTCTCATTGGGGACGCCAAAAGCCTCGGGGTATTCCTCCTGGGTCAGATCTGAGAAACATGTCGTCCTACTCTCGTCAACCAAACGGTTACATACAATCATCTCAGAGAACAATGACGTCATTCGCTCGTAAACAGAATTATTGCATTCACGCATCTCAGAGAACAATGACGTCTTAATCACGTCAACCAAATGGTTCCATTCAATTACCTCAGAAAACACTACGTACTCTCGTATGCAAAACTCTTAATTCACTCATCTCCCGTACACCATACCTGGCTCTTCCACACGCTTGGCCCTTCTGTAGTGAAACAGAACTGTTACAACCCCAATATTTGTACGTACCCAGCTCTTCCACAAGTTTGGCCATTCTGTCGTGAACCTCCGCACTGTACATCATGACACCGAGCTCCACGGGAATATTGGGGGCTTCTGGGAAGACGGCGGTGTAGTGGCGGCCACCTATGCGGTCAGAACGCTCGACAATCTCGATGGACTGGCTGGTGTTCCTCAACCTGTAGGCGGAGTAGGCACCAGTAACACCGGCGCCAACGATGACCACATCGACTTCACGCTCACATTTCTCTACAGATGTTTGACAACAGAGATACACACAGCTAAGTTTAGTACAATTCCATAAAATATTAATAATAATACACTAGCCAATGAAATAGCCATACTTTTTTTAATGACGTAAAGATCCATTTAATTTTTTCAGTGAGATAAGATCATATTATTTCAACAAAACTGTGATATAATATAACTATAACATTTCCAGCGGTTTATTTATCAAATGAAAACTGTCCAATGAAATGACAGTGATATAAAGTCACAATGAAAGAGCTGTTACTATAAATCTGACTTGTGATACAGCTATTTCTATAAATCTGACTTGTGATACAGCTATTTCTATAAATCTGACTTGTGATACAGCTATTTCTATAAATCTGACTTGTGATACAGCTATTTCTATAAATTGACTTGTGATACAGCTATTTCTATAAATCTGACTTGTGATACAGCTCTGTCTATAAATATGACCTATGACATAACTTTATGTTTAAAAGAAAGACATATTAAAATCAGAATATTATCATCCACCTCTTGAATGATTATTTTAGAGTTTGAACAGACTTTTGAAAAACAAAATACATTTCGCAAAAAATATGAATAAGAATTATTTATGTCATAAATCAATGAATAATCTGAATGGTTGTCGGAAGTCACGTTTTAAATAGATGAAAAAAATAGTTTTCCATTTGATAATGTCCTGTTTCCATGTTAGTGTGATGTTTTCAATTTACTGTGATGTCTCCATGTTACTTTGATGTTGGCATGTTATTGTGATGTTTCCATGTTACTGTGATGTTGGCATGTTATTGTGATGTTTCCATGTTACTGTGATGTTGGCATGTTATTGTGATGTTTCCATGTTACTGTGATGTTGGCATGTTATTGTGATGTTTCCATGTTACTGTGATGTTGGCATGTTATTGTGATGTTTCCATGTTACTGTGATGTTGGCATGTTATTGTGATGTTTCCATGTTACTGTGATGTTGGCATGTTATTGTGATGTTTCCATGTTACTGTGATGTTGGCATGTTATTGTGATGTTTCCATGTTACTGTGATGTTGGCATGTTATTGTGATGTTTCCATGTTACTGTGATGTTGGCATGTTATTGTGATGTTTCCATGTTACTGTGATGTTGGCATGTTATTGTGATGTTTCCATGTTACNGGGGGGGGGGGGGAATGCTCCACCCTGCCCTACCAAAATAATGTCCCTGTCTTGTTTTCAAGTAAATGTTTTGTTTTTTAATGTAAATGTTATGTTTTAATGTAAATGTCTTGACTGCATGTAAACGTCTTCTCTGCATGTAAATGTCTTGTTTTCATGTAAATGTCTTGTTTTCATGTAAATGTCTTGTTTTGACATTATATTCTTATTTCATATGTTTCATCATTTCTAAGTGTGCCTCTGGTCATGTCAATCCAACACAAAAGTTAAGTTTCAATTAAATTCCTTTCATTTTTTTCAGTAACTGTAGTTTATTATGGCGGAGGTTCCATTCGGCACAAAATGTCATAGAGATGAAACATTTAAAGTTTGTATGTTTGTATCGGCTGAGATTCCGTTCGGCACAAAATGCCACAGAGATAAGACAACTTAATTCTGTATTTTTGTTTAGGCTGAGATTCCGTTCGGCACAAAATTTCATAAAGATGAGACATTTTAATGCTATGCTTGTTTAGGCTGAGATTCTGTTCGGCGCAAAATATCATAGCGTTGGGACATTTAAATGTTGTATGTGAAGTCTGAGATTCCTCTCGGCAAAAGTATCAGGGAGATGAGACATTTGAATGTTGTAATCAAAGACTTACCTGTTGGGTCTCTCCTCAACTCTGACTGGGCCACTGCCACGACAATCAAACACGCAAAAAGCAAGACTTGAGCCATGGTGATACAGTGATGAGCGCTGACTTGCCGGGACCGGTACGGGTCCCATTTTATACCAGGGACTGTTCAGCTCAGGGGAGGAAACAGCTGCGTCTAATGACAGGATGAAATAATTAAGTTTCCCTGGTCGATGGCTGATTAAAACTGTTTGTTTTGAAAGTGTGTAAGATGAAAGTGTGTAAGAACTGGCCCGGGGGGGGGGGAGAAAGGGGTTGGTTGGAGGGGTTGGGGCTGTCACGTGATGCTGACACGTTGCGTTTTGGAGTTGGTTGAAAGTGTCGTCAACTTTTTAAACTGCTGTGTCGTCATTTCATGGTGCTGACTAAAGTCGTTCTATTATTTGAGGTCATCAACCTCCTAACGCACTTTATCCAATTGATACAAAAATTGGTACAAAATTTCATATACTCAATAGGGCAACATTAAACAAAAATTACCATTTAAAAAATCATAAAAAAAATTAATTAATAAATAAGTTAAACATAAATAAAGAATTAAATTAATAATTAGATAAAAATGATAAATAAATAATAAAATAAATACCTTAAGTACAAAAAAATAATTTAACAATTAAAACAAAAAAAAAAATAAATATATAAAAAATTTGAAATTTGAAATGTACACGTGACTAAGGTGGGTAATAATTGCTGTTTAATCAAGTCAAGAGTTACACTGTCTCACAGGAAAGAGTTCTTTTGTATGGAACAAAACCGTCGATCTGGGTCAATTATAATTTAAACTTCAAACAATCTACGGCTTTGATTTTGTTGTCGTTGCTTGAGGTGAATGTGTTGATTATACTTTTTTTTTTAAGAATGGAAATCAAGACTCATAGTCACATTGATCAAATTAGTTTTATATATACAAACAAAAAAATAATAATACCCCCCCCCCCCCCAAAAAAAAAACAAAAAAAACAACTCAGTTTGCTCTTGCATTGCATCTGACCAATCATTGGTCAGGTTGTTCTTCATTACTAAATGTGTTTTTACGTTCTTGAGATCATGTCATACGCCCCTGAATTAGTTTGACCAATCTTTCATCAGGTTGTACGCTCCTGGATGAGTGTGATCATTCCAATAAACGTTGTACGCTCCTTGATGACATGAGCTGTCGTTTATCATGCTCTACTCCAGGGGTCGGGAACCTTTTGATCTGAGAGAGTCATGGACACCACATATTTTGAAAAGTAATTCTGTGAGAGCCATACATTATGTTTAAAACTAAAAATTCAAGTAAATGTACTACTCTGATGCTGAGCTGCAGTAGACTTTAGCTCATTTGTGGAATGAAATATTGATATGCCATTAATATGTAGATCAAAGGAGTCTAAAGAAACATTTTTTTTTATAATCGAACATTTGTCTGCAAACCAGATGCAGCCATCAATAGAGCCATATCTGGCTCGCGAGCCATAGGTTCTTGACCCCTACTCTACTCCCTTAACTGAGTCTTAAATCTCTCTCAGATACCATTAGGGTACGCCCCTAGATGAATAAACCCTTTCTTATACCACGTTGTACACTTCTGACTGAGTAAGACTACCCTGGAGGATTCGTAGCCAATGTGTACGATGTGTTACGCCCCCGTATTCAGCTCACCCCCCCCCCCCCCCCCCCCCCCCACCCCCACCC